CTATTTTCCTCATCAACACTATTCAATCAAAATAGAAAAAAAGTGCAATGAGAGTGAATAGCCCAGAGCCATCAGTGTGTGTTTGAACCCCCCCCCCCGTCCTTCGTGTGTTGCCAAGGCACGTCAATTTAAAAGTTCAACGATTAGCATGGCTGAGAGAACTCTTTGCGCCTTCACTTCTCCGCGCTTGATAGTAAATGAAAAGACATAGCACTATGGACACTTAGAGGTGCTACGCTAGCACGGAACATTAGCGAATAAGTGACGGAAAGGGTAAAGGTCGGGTGTAAGACGGGTAAATTCGGAAGAAGCTGCTCCTGCAGATTTGGTGCAAGGAATGAGATCTTCTGAGAAAAACTCCCAAATAAATTTGTCATTTTTTTAGTGGGTCTGAAGTCAAAAAATTTTAACAGAAAGTGGTGGATTCAAAGGTTTTTTGCGTGGAGAAAATTTGTCTTCTTTCGCATGGGTGGAAAGCGTGAGTCAAAAATTTTTACAAAAAAATGTAAAGCGAAAGCGGTGGTACCAAAAATTTTTGTTTGAAGGTTGGGACGAGTCTCACCCAAATAAAGGAGTTTCTAAAAAAGTTTTCACTGTAATGCCCCTTGCATTTTGCGTAAGCTTGTAGCTTTGCCATTTCAAAATAAGGGGCCGCAGCAAAAAAAAATTTTCAGGGCTAGATTTGTTAGAAAAAATTCATGAAAATTAATTCCATTACTAAGATTAGGAGCAGTTATTTTCAGAATCTTATAGAACATGTATGCTTTAGAATTTCGCGTCAATCCCGGGGGGAGGGGGGGGGGGGAGAAGAGATCAAGCAGTATCCAGCAGGTCACATGTGCATTGCTTCCGACATAATAGGGCTTCGCTCCTTCATACTTACTCCTAGAACGGTAATTTTGACACAGTAACCGTACAGTAATGGTACCGTACCCCCACTCACTTTTTAGCAAGGTATCTAGCAAGGAAGCTTCAGCTTATAACAGATAGATGCAATGACTTTGCATTAAATATTACAAGCACAACGCTGTTGATCTACCGTAATCCTAACGCATCACTTTACCGTACACTTCACAGGCAAAAAATGTAAGCTCACGATCAGCCCCATTCCTTCCTCATAATTTACTAATGCAAGAAGAAAAGTGAAATGCATATGAAAAGCAATCGGCTGAAAATGTTGAGCGAGACAATAGGACATACTTCTTAAAGACTGAAAAAATTCTGTTTTTTATGTCAGCTTTTAAGGTAGCTAAAAGAACTAATAATGCGGTAGACTGCACATGTAAACCCATATCTGCTACTTACATAATTGCTCAGCCCACTTCGTCAAAACGCTCGGCAAAGAAACTCAAAGGCTCAACAATTTTTCCTTTGCCTCCCCTAATTTTTCGGATGTAATCGACCACATGTTGAATATTCTGAGATGTTGTGAAAACTTACGGCTAAAATTTACATTTTCTGTTGTGTAAATTTCATATCAAAAGATTAATGAGAGATGAATGAGTTCTTGGACAGTAATACCAGATTCCTAGACTGCTAGCAAGCCCTTTTAAATACCGGTTGGAATAAACTTCTTCACAGTTCGAAATGGATTCAGAAAGGCTTTCAAAAAATAAATTTCGTCGAAGTTTTATTGGATTTTTGATAAAATTCTCAACATTTTGGAGCTCTTTCGCTTCCTTCAAGGTTGCTAAAACCTATACTCGAAGCCCATGAGCTTCCTTATAATGGAGTACACTAAGTCATTATGCGCAATAAAAGATAATAAAGGTAATGCATTTTCCAGTAATAATTTTAGTGCCGCTACAAACAATTGCTGTCCTTCGAGGTATACGTACGTGATATCTAAAAACATAGTTGAGCACTATAGGAAAGTAGGATAGTTTCCAAAAAAATTATCAAAAAATAAGAAAAATTCATAGATGTAAAAATCACTCAAATTTAGCATAGAAATGTTAAAGTGAAAGACATAACTTAGCAGATCAATATGCGAAGACAGGTAGAGTGGGAGTGAGGGGAGAACAAATAGGTTATGAAATTTTTGCAAATGATCTACATGGAATTTCAAATCATTCAGGCGACTTTTTTTCCCGTTTTGAAAAGCTTTATCAGATTTTTGTGAATTTATGAATGTTTGACAGAATTTTGAAATGACTTACAATATTTATAATAATTCAAGCTATGCCTTGGGTCATCCGGACCAAAAATACGGACGCTACAAAAGATTGAAAAGCGGAGATAAGGAGTGGACAATTATGTAAACTTTGTGAGCAGAATTTTTCGTGGCCATAGGTACAGTTCCTTTTTTACATAAACTTAAGACTTGTAGAACTGAGAGGTATGTAACTAAAGCAATTTTTGGGGCTTCTGCCTCCCCTTACTTCAAAAAAGCTTTTGTTGAACCCCATTAGGTCATACATCAAAAGTTTGCTCAATCTGACTATAACGTGCTTCCTTTAGTGTACGAACTATGGAAATGACTGAAAATGAAATCAGAGTGAATAATTCACAAGACAGCAGCTCCGACAAATCTCGAAGTAGACATAATTAATGCAAGAAGTGCTCTCGAAGAATACGACGTGTTTAAGCGTTTAGCAAGCCATTGAACTCGGGGACTACTTCAGCCGTATTTGAGAATGTGTAGTACGCGACATGCACTGGCAACGATTTATTAAATGTAGAATAGCACTCCATAAACGAAAGTGTTAGAGTGTAGAAAAGTAACACACAATAATTTTTTACGAGCCACATGCTTTAATATGGTTACTGAACGTACTTTTCAGTGAGCTGATTACACATGAACGTAAGCTTATTATTTGTCATAGAACAAAAAGATAAAATGAGCTTTTTAGACCTTATACTGATTGCTGAAAGATGTTTTGCAAACAAAAGATTGAACCAGATTGCAATTACCTCTGTTATGCAGGTAAATTCTACCGACAAATTAGGCCGCAGGGGGCCTCAAACTGCACATAGATAACAAACATAATAATGGTTCAGGCGGGTTTTGATTATGTCAAAAAAATGATGAATGCAAACAGTCACATCAAATTCAAAACATATAAACGGTTTTGGGAATTTCAAATGGGGTACTTCGAAATACCTCTAAGTTACGCTGATTAAATTTACTACTGAGTTGATGCATGATTCTAGCATTATTATTGAAATTTTTTAAACTCTCAAATCTCAAAAAATAGTGGAGAGAGAAAATCCTTATCTTAAACGCGCCGTACTTGATCCGCTCGATCCACTTCATCCCCTTCGCTATTGGTCAAATCAGCAAGCTAACCAATAGCGAAGTGGATCAAGCTCATCAGGTATGGCGGGGATTTTAGGTGTGCCTATCAAAGCTTCTTGTTACCTTACGATAATGATACTAGCCAAGAAAGACTCGAAAAATGATTTTGTGAATATAATAGCTAGCAGAAAGTCTGATTCGTGGAATTATTTTTTATCCTAACCTCATGATTTATCCTTTGTAACTAGAATAATTTTGCAGAGATCGGATGTCCCCACAAGAAGTTATGTTTCTTTTATAAATTTTCTGCTCTTTTTGATTTTGAAAGCGATTTCGATGTACTAAGGAGGCTACGTACATTTGATATAATACATAACAAAGAGGTATTGTATAAATTTACTAGTTTATTACGAAGTTTTGAAAAGGATTTTCATTTATTTGGTGCAAGAAACCCATCAGCCTCAATTGTGTCTGGTCTTTGACTCTCTTATCATCAAGATTCTCTCATCAAGTTCCATACGATAAATTCCATCGTTTAGAACTGAAATTTCACTTCCTTTTTCGTCTTACAGAACATCTCTTGCCATTTTCGCCAACGCTTATCCTTGTAGACATTGTGCACATCAAACCTACATCAGCAAACTTTCCATCTAATTAACAAAGGAAAGATACCAACATTAGTTGGCATTTGAAGATGAGATTTACATCCTTAGATGTGTCTTTGAACGCTGATTCGAAATCTGCTTTCCCTTTTTGCTAAATCAGCATCCGAAAGAAGTTATGAGCGTTTGAATATCCAGATTTGCCAAGCATTGAGTGGCTCAAAATCAGCGAAAAGCTCTAAAACAACACCTATGCAATTTCCACCGGGCTTTGTTCCTTCCTTGCAAACAATATACTCGATACAAAGATGATTCTCCACTTTCCATTGTTTTTGTACAGCTTTTTGCCAAATTTAGTCCACCTAAATCTTGACAAATTTGGACATTTGAACGCCCACAACTTCTTTCGGAAACGTTGGTGTGTTCTTTTCTTGTAAGTTCCTTCTTTCTTGGGCTTTATTTTTGAAAATATTGTTTAAACACTTTCACTCAATGCATCAAAGGTTTGGTCTCGATTTACAACCACTACTTGCAAGTGGAGAGTACTCCACTGACATGAGTTTTCCATAATAAAAAGTACAACGAGATTCTGCACTTGCTGAATGTATAATCTGGAGATTCAGTGTAGAATCGGAAACTTATATCCCGGCATTATTTTCTGATAGCTGAAGGAAACAAATTCATTCCCTCTCGAACGAAATGCTATTCAGAAATGAAAGGAAGTCATTGCAAAATTAGAACCCAATAGCAAAGAAAAATTTGCTTATTGAAAGCTGAAATCCCACATCTCGTTTACAGTAATATTACAACCACTCTGTTTCGCTCAAACAGATTTTTTCGTAATCTTTGGAGTGGTCGTGAGATTAGGTACATACTTTCCAATCATGACCATAACTGTTTTATGCTTGCGGTGAGTTCTCCACATCCAAATTGCCAAAGCGACAAGTCGGTAGGGATATGTCTGGCAGGTTCAGAAAATTTGGAATTTTTTAGGGAATGGAGAGTATTGTTTTGTAGGAAAACAAAAACAGCAGAATCTTTTTTCAGCATGAACTATAGAAGTATAGAAGGAAATTAGCTTGGTAATATGAAAAATTGCCAGAAATCACAATAAAATATAAAAAATATACTCCTTTGAGAATACGACATGACAAACTCACGTTTGAATGGTGGAGTGGGTTGAACTGGTGACGGGTAGCTCTCGAATACCGCTGAAGAAGCTGGTACCCACATCATCAACAATACCACCAGATGCATCAGTCAGCCGGCATCGGCCTAAATTGTTAAGCTGATTGGAAATTTTGAGATTATCAAGAATATAAATCTCGAGGAAAAATTGATGCGATTTGAAGAGATTTACAAAGCTAGGAGAAGCAAAAAAGGATTCAGCTTTGAGCTGAAAAAAAGCTTGGAATTGTATGGAAGATATCATGATAGGAGCAGCGCTTAGAATAATGAGCTTCAATATACTGGATAGCAGAATTTGAAGGGAATTTTTGATAATTTATAGCTTAATTTTAGAGAACACGATTTAAAGGATATTTTTGATATTTTCCTGCAAATGCCGGATACCAGAGGGTATATTAACCCTTGGAGTTTTCTATGGCTTTCGCCTCCTTTCATTAGGAACAGCCGCATCACACCTATCGTTTAACGCTTAGCTCAAAGAATGTCGTATAACAGCAATAAAGCTAACTTTTACGAGATTTTTATCATGGAGACAGTAGAGGAATCTTATACTACAGATTTCATACAGAAAAACCACTGGTGAGCCTCTTACCTCCGGAGAGAGTTGTAGCCCAATTTATTCTCAGTGTATGTAATTAAAGGTGGGCTATTCCTTGGCAGAAGATAGGTGTAGCATTATCATAAGAAGTATTTGTAAAAAAAAGATTATACAGAGGAATGTAAATTTTAGCCGGTGTTCTACGAGTTAACCAATTAGCGCCTTTGAGTACGGTAGAGGGTATTTTCTGGGCCGGAGTAAGGACTTATCTTTTTCAGCCAGGAATGTATTGCAGCTGTTGTTTGGAGGCTAAACTCAGGCCACCCAGGTAGGTTCCACGTAGGAACCAATAGCGCAAAAGTTGCTTTTTCTTCAGCATTGCCCAATTTATGAAAATCCCAAATTTTCGACCCTGCTATGCAGAATTGATTTCTATAAATTTCCCGTTTTGATCATTAAGGTAGTAAAATTCAATGGTAGCGATATCACATAAGAATAGAAGCGAATCCGAACCTTACGACGGATGTGACGCGACGAATTCGATTACGAAAGTAACATGATTGCGATTGTCTTTTCGACACTGAGCGCATAGACTTTTCGGGCAAAGCACGAAAATCGGATGCGAGAGTAAACAAAACGCATCGATAGTTTATGGGCTAGGAATCGAATGGCAACAGAACATGAGAGACTCCACTTTTTAGCGCATTTGTAAAGCCGATTTATTATATTTATAATGAAGTTTAAAGTCGTATCGCTTCACTTTCTATTCATATTTAAATCCTTAATTTGAAATTTGAATTCTGCTATTAAATTGATGAGAAAAATATGTCGCTTTCTTCCATTTTTTTTCCAGCTAAAAGTGATATGTCTCAGAAGCTAAAGTTACAAAGCCAAAATATTGTGAATGAAGTTCAGAAGGTTCATAGTCTGCAGTTGTTATGGGAGGAGCCGATCGTTGGGGGCGGAGTTTGCCATTCTTCGTTTTTTGATTTCTTTCTCAGATTTGTAACAACAACAAAATAAGCAAGGCTACATATGAATAAGAGCATGTGTCTATTATATCTAGGACCAAGTGAAGAGATCAGTAGGATTTTTTGGGGCAATTCGTTTTTCGACATGACGAGTTGCTCTTATTAGGTCGTTCCGAAAGTTCTTTCCGTTTTTTCATCCTTTCATAAAAGCGCTTGGAATGAAGGCAGGCAAACGCTTTACGCACTATCAGACGCAGTTCTTCTTCCTCTTTCCAACAGTCTTGTCTTGGGACCATTTGCTTCGGTGGTTTCTGAAATAATTTTCGGAATTTCGAACCCATGGTTTTTACCATGTCCAACTTTGGCGATTTTTCACATTCTTCATTTTGAACTTTTGGAAAAGCTTTAATAGCAGTAAGATAGAGTGAACAAAGTGCAGTGCAATACAATTTTTCCGCGTCTGTTGCTACGCTTGAAAAATTTTTGAAATTATTTTTCTGATGCTAACAAAGCCCACTTTTGGTGATGCCGAGAACCACAGGACATAGAATCGCGCACAACTAAGGTGTCATTCGATGCAGTTTTCCCCCATTTTCTTATGTGTGTTTCTGCTTGCCAATTTGTGGGTTCTTTGGTGAGAAAATTTCTATAATTCTTGATTTCGAACCCGTACCAGGTTGTACATGTGAAATGCGTAATTTGGTATTTCGAAGCGGTAACGGCTCAGTTGCTTTGCAATAATAGTGGACAGTCATAATCGACTTTTGAAACTTTCAAAATCCGAAGATTTGTTAGTGTTTGGAGCGTTTGTGTACTTTGCGGCTTCGCAAAAGTGAAGACTTTTGAAAAGGTTACTTTAAAAAGTACTGAGAAGCAGTTGAAACTGCCGAAAAAATTGCATTGCATTGCACTTTGCTTACCCTATCTGTATTTTATCAAAGCTCTCTCAAAAGTTAAAAGTGAAGATTGCGAAAAATCGCCAATGTTGGACATAGTAAAAACCATGGGTTCGAAATTTCGGCGATTATCTCAATAACCGCAAGAGTAGCCAGCACCTGGATGTGAATGCTAGAAAGGGGAAGAAAAGCTGCGTCGTATAGTGCCTGAAGTGTTTCTCTATCTTCATTCCACGTGCTTTTATGATAGGTTGAAAAAACGGAAAGAACTTTCGGAACGACCTAATATATTTTAGCTTGCAATTTTGCATAAATCATGATTCACACCAACATTCAAAGGCCATTTTCTATAGCTCTCTGCTCTATCGAAGGGTATCCTCTATATATTTTTGGAATTTTTGTATACTTTTCGTCTTGCCTTGCTACGGAAAACGACATTCTTGTCTTTCCAACCTAATACAAGCGCCAATTTTACATTGTATACATTTTACAATCCTCACTGGTGGGATGCCAGAGAATTCAGGACAGGTTGACAGCGGTTTAATTTTACAATTTTATACTGTATATGATTCCTCTCAGGACCAAACAGAGAAAATGAGAGCTTAAAAGCTTATATTCTCCTTACGCTCCTTACGTCTGTACAAATCATGCTCCTTTTGCTCAAGTACGTAATTTCCACAATAGCTTTATTGGCGCTTGGTGACAAGAACACATGAAAAATTAATTGAACGTATTCGGTTACAAACGCAATCCCGTCGCTGCAAAATACAAAAAATCAAAAAACATCGGGTAGTTTTTATTCAAAATAACCTTTTTCATGCTATATTTTTGAATTGATGCTCATTTATAATAATGAGTATCTCTTGCGCTCCTTCACTATAAACGTAAATGACGCTAAAGCGGTGGCTACGCACTAATTGTCGGCTAATTATCGAAGCAGGTAATCGGAGCAGTGAATTGTCAATAGAAGTTGGAAGTGAATGGCTCAACTTTCAGCTCATTACGTGATTGAATGGAAACTCGTACAACAACGTCGAAGAGAGGGGTGAGCTCAATGATTTACTTAACATTTACATTATTTTGACTTCACAAAAATTCAGGTTTACTATGTAAAGACCCTGCTTATTCGCAAAAAGCTTCTGTAGGTTTTACGCCCTTCCCTCTTTCACCAAGAAAATCCTTGAGACTGCCTTTAGTCTAAAAGTAAGCGGGAAGGATGCCAAAAAATTCTGACAAAATGAGGACTACGAGAAATTTATTTATTAATTTATTTTATACCCGAAGGCAAGCGTTATTACTATAAGAACAGACCATAGCTGGTCGCAGTGATATAAACAATAACAAGTAGAAAAATAAACAACGAAGTTGAACTGTACTGTAATAAATTAGTCATCTAGGTCTAATCCGATCTATTTTTTTTTATCTTTGAGATTTTCTCAAAATCTATAATGAATGTTCGAAAATCACATGCGAGAAGATTTGAAAAACAAAAAATAGAATGTCTGGAATGGATACTTCTTCTGCAATATATCATGGCATGGATTGCAAATAAAAATTTGTAAGAAGTCAAAACATGGTGGTTACATGTCTAATGTAAACATTATCATTGTTTGTAGCATCGCGCACTTCAAAAAATTAATTTTAACATTTCTTCTATTTGTCGCAACTGGTGCGCTTAGTTTAGAAAAATAGATATACAATTAGTTAGTTCAAACTGAGACTCCAATGGTACATAATTATGTGAAAATTTTTTGTTGAAAGCCAAATCGAATGCTTTCATTACTGAAGCTACCATCAGCGGAAAATCGATGACAAACAATTCTAATAAGAAATCAAAACTGAAAAGTTTTGCAGACCTCAAAGCTCACTCTTTGAGGCTCATTAAGCCCTTCGCCGAACGGCTACTCCTACATTTGAGTCCCCGCACGAAACATTGCCAATAATTTAAGTGTACATGTATGCTGGTGACGTGTAAGTGACACCCTCAACTGGATGGAAATTTTCCTCCCGAAATCGATTCAGCATGTCAGAAACGGGGATGCATCTACTCTTAGAATTTCATTACTGAAACACTAGAAGTGTCCACTGTGACACTTCAGCACTCTCTACACTGTTATGCACTTGAGATCTAAGAAAAAATTTGCAAAACCCTAAGGGACGCTTAAAGTTCATATGTGTGAGTACGCATGAGTGATTTTGCCAGAAAACTTGACTTGGACTTGCATCTAGTTCTTTTTGACATTTCATGGATCGATATGTGGGGGAAGTTAAGCAAAACTTTCCTTATTCTATTAATCGAATAATTACTCCAAAGCAGTGACTACGGGACAGGATAACTGGCACAACAAGAGCTCGTAAGCTGAAGTCATGAAGAAAAGCATGACAAAGATGTATTAAGCCGTATTTGCATGAAGGTGGAAGTTCAGGACAACTAGCATAAGTAAACAAAGGACATTTCATCCTTACCAAGGGTTGGTTTTTTTTTCAACGTATTTTTGGCGCACCTCCAATTTATCGAATAAACAGATAAAAACAAATAGATGATAGGCAAAAAGTTAATTAATGCTAGACATTGCCGAGAATGACTTATAATGGTAAAAGTGACTTGCACGCCAAAAATATGAATCATTTAGCAACTATTTATACGATAAAACTTCGGCCCCAAAGCAAGCTGGTGGACGA